TGAATCGGTTCAGTCTGCATCGGCTCAGAATCTTGCGGTATATCCTGAGTTGGTTCAACCATTGGTTCGAAATCTAGTTCAGGCGGTTGCTGTAAGTCCTGATCTGGTTCTTCCAAAGGTTGATCCTCAACAGTTTGTGGAATCTGAACGGTAGGTGGTATATCTGCAGGCATAACTAAAGGAGCACTGCGGATAAGTACAACCCCACCAGATGACGTAGAAGGTTGAGAGTCAATATGATCGAAGGAAGGAACTAAGTCCTTAAACCGATCACTCCCACTAATCAAGTCATCTTCAAGAAATTTAGCATTCCTTGATTCCACTATCCTAGTAATATGAGATGGACAATAGAACCTATAACCTTTAGAAGATTGTGCATATCCAATAAAGAAAGCACTAACCGTCCTTGGATCAAGTTTCTTCTCGTGTGGGTTATATATCCTCACCTCAGACGGACATCCCCAAACACGCATATGTTGCAAACTCGGTTTCCAACCTTTGAATAACTCAAACGGTGTCTTAGGGACAGCCTTGGTTGGAACACGGTTTAATATATACGTTGCCGTCTTAAGCGCTTCATCCCACAACGACTTAGGAAGCTTAGAGTTGCTAAGCATACTCCGCACCATATCCAGAAGGGTCCGGTTTCTTCTTTCAGCTACACCATTTTGGTCCGGAGAACCAGGCATGGTGTATTGGGCAACAATCCCATGCTCTTGAAGAAACTTAGCAAAGGGACCAGGTGCTTGTCCATTCTCAGTATATCTACCATAGTATTCACCACCCCTATCAGACCTAACTATGTGTATTTTCCTGTTACATTGGTTTTCAACTTCAGCTTTAAATGATTTAAAGGCATCCAATGCTTCATGTTTATGATGAAGTAAATACACATAGGAAAAACTTGAGAAGTCATCAATAAAGGTGGTGAAATATTTCTGACCAGGTATTGTCATATCAGGACAACATATGTCAGTATGAATAATTTCCAACAACGTTGAACTTCTGTTGGCACCTTTCTTTGACTTGTTTGTCTGCTTACCCTTAATGCAGTCAACGCAAGTCTCAAAGTCAGTATAGTCTAGAGTAGAAAGTACTCCATCCTTTACCAACCTTTTAATACGCTCAAGGGAGATATGACCTAATCTCCGATGCCACAACATTGAGGAATTGTCGTTAATACTGCACCGTTTGGTGCCGTTTTGAACATGTAAAGAATTGTAAACTGAATCATTCTTTAATTTAAGACGGAAAAGACCATTAGACAATGTACCAGTACAAACACAAGTATAATAATGAAATAACTTGATATTATTGGTATTAAATTCAAAAGAATATCCGAAGGGTACAAGTCTAGATACTGAAACTAAGTTCCTAGAAAAACTAGGAACATAAAATGTCTTTTCTAACGTCATTACAAAGCCATTGTCCAAAACTAAATTGCAAACTTCGACAGCTTCGACTGGTGATGCAATCTTGTTTCCAGAGAAGATGCTACACTCAGTTCCCGTTGGCTGTCTCAATTTTGTCAAATCCTGCAAAGAGTTTGCAATGTGGATTGTTGAACCAGAGCCAACCCACCAAGAATTAGTATTAACTTCTGACATGTTAGATTCGAAACAAACGAAAGAAGATGAAATGTTACCTTTTTGGGACATCCATTTCTGAAACTTGATACAATCTTTCTTCATGTGTCCCTTCTTTTTGCAAAAGAAACACTTTTGTATCTTCTTAATGTCTGCTTTCGGGTTTAGTTTCTCCTTAGCAGCTATGGTAAGTCCCTTAGGTTTTCCAGACTTTCTTTTAGGCCTTGTTGTGGCCATAAAAGCACTTTCCCCAAGCTCAGTTACAAGTCGCGTTTCCTCTTGAGTACACATGGTAATCAATTGATTGATAGACCATTCATCCTTATGTGTATTATAGGCAATTTTAAACGCGCTATATTCCTGAGATAGGGTATTTAGTGCAAAGTGCACCACAAAGGCATCTGGAAGAATAATTTTCAACTTCTTCAATTGTGCCGCAATGTCCCTGAGTTCCATGATGTGTTTCCGCGTTCCCTTGACAGTGGAAAGACGCATATTGATAAACTTCATTATCAGGGTACTTGCCAGAGATTTATTCGCGTCAACAAATTGCTCATCGATGGCTTTGAGTAATGGCTCAATGTTCTCAATATCATCGACGGGACCACGAATCTCTCTGGCAATTTTAGACTTAATGAGGAATACGCCTAAGCGATTGGCTGTTGCCCATCGCTCGTATAGCGTTTTTTGTTCCTCAGTGCTTTCCGCAGTAAGCTCAGCAGGCTTCTTATTGCGAAGAGCATAATCAAACCCCAATATTCCTAAATTCAATAAAACAGCGTCTTTCCACTCTTTGTGATTGTCATAATTGAGGATAGGAATATCAATTGTTATTGATTGAGTGATTGGAAGAGTGACTGTAAAAGAAAAATTGAAAGCTTGGTTAGAATATTTTCGAGGCACAAAATTAGAGAGAGATACTGAAGTACACAATATTACCAATGTAAAATTATGCAAAAGATAAATTCGGATGCCATAAAAATTGCCTGTGGGCTAAATTTTTACGCATAATGAATTTACCAAAACTAAATGGTGGAAACGAAATGGGGGCGATTTTAATTTTTCCACCCTTAATGACAAAACTACCAAAACTATATGCCGATACATAATCCCTGTGGGCAAATTATGATCATAGTATGGTATTTCATCCTAATTCACCCTACAAATATAACAAAATTGCCTGTGGGCTAAATTTTGCCATATCACGCAGAGTGAATTACAATATTCTTGCATTAGCTTTATGTGAGTAAAACTTAATATGTAATTTTGGAAAAATTAAAGATGTTGTGGCTACTCTTTAATTAACCAAAGAACATAATCACATTAGCAAGAAAACCTAATAATCAAACAGATTAAACCAAAATATGATAGACAATCCTTAGGTATACTCCCAGGAAAGTTGGTCGAGACGAAGCTCGGTTAAATACCAACTCCTTAGACAGAGTAGCGTCGCAAGGGGACTAGTAGCAACAAGGCTTTTAAGCCAGGGCCATAGAACTAGTATTCCTCCCCAAGAAACTTCCCTAATTCATGTGTTCTCATTTTTGAAGTAAAATCGTTTGAGAGATCTAAAGAGTAGTTTCACCTATGGATAAGGCTTTGAATAGGGTAAAACTACGAATTGTTTATGTACTTAATGTGCTTTAGGAACTTTATAAAACACGAGTGGAGTAATAACTGAAGGTTGAGTAATAATATGCATAATCTAACCTGAAAGGCACTAATTCACCTAAAAGGCACTAATTCAGGCATAGCATATAATTCAGACCTAAAAGGCTCTAAATTTTTCTTAATGAACATGCTTTTCTATAGGCATATAATTATAACAATCAAATAATTATTGCAATAAAGAGATAAATAGCATGCTCAGATTATGCATATTACTCACAAATACTCCACAATTAAATTGCAACACTTAATACAATTTAAACTGAAAAAACATTATTAAATTAAAAATTCAACTGAAAAATTAAAACTGAATAATTATTCAAAGTTGAATAATAATTTAATAATAGACTTAATAAAAAAAATTCAATTGGATAATTTAATTAGAAGAAGTCCAGATATGATGATGATATTAAACTGAATGAATTGATGTAGTCCAAATATCAATTCAGGCTTGGCCCAAAACCATAACAGGCCCAGTAAAAAAATTGTTTTTTTTTAATTTTAATAATGAGCCCAAGCCCATTACTTAAGCCCATCCATTCATCATCATCTCCTTCCTCACGCGGTAATATGCAGCAGCTCCGTCGAACAGAAGCAGTGAGCTCCTCATTCGGCAGGGAGCAAAAAATATCCAATTTTAATTTTTTTTTTTTTAATTAATTCTTAATGCGGAAAATTATTTTCAGCAGTCCAGAAAAGTTAATTGCATACTCAAGAATATTTACACATGTATCTCAATTATATAACAAAATATATAAATGTGCAAACATTTAAGCAATTAAAAAAAACTAGGCAGAGATTATTTATGGCGACTGATACCAACTGTTAGACTAAAATATCACATGCATAATCTTATATGTGATAACAGGATCGTACTAACCTCCAGCCATAGTTCTTCTTACGGTTGAGCGATCCGGACTGCTGCAGAGATGATAAGTGCTTTGTCTCTCACTTTACTCAGCTCTCTCTAGATGGTGTATGAGGTATGTAATGTGAGCAGTGAGAGGACTAGTGACCTTATATAACCACTGGCCATCATTGTGGTTGATTGTCTTTAGGTCTCCTAAACCCTAACCAGACTCCTAACCATAATGGTAGTCTAGTTATTAGGTTATTAGTGTTGCACCACATATCAAATACTGAATATTATCATAACTTATCCTAATGTTATAATAATAGTAACGGATAAACGTTACAAAAGGTACATAACCTTTCAAAATCTCCAAAAGTTAATTACGCTTCAGAAACGTTGAAAAGTTACCGCACGAAAGCACCAAAGAGCTAAGCATCCATAATAGTAGATTTTTTTTTTTGTAATTTTTGATGAATTTTTATAAGTGTGATTAGAAAATAGAAAAAATAATATATAAAACAAATTTGATTAAACATCACCACTAAAACCAATTTTCAATATAATAGGTAAAATGGGGGATGCTAGTTGCCGGGGGTGTCTTTTATTGATTTTGTTGAGGAGAAGCTACGTGAAGCAACAGCAACACAGGGCAGCCTCATGGCAGCAAGGTTCTGGGTGATGTGGAAGGTGAGGAATGACCAAGTCTGGAACGGGAAGTTGTGGTTAATAGACAGGTAAAATGGAATAGACAGAGCATAATATAAACTTCTCTTAACAAGGGCTATATGAATTAATCAAATCAAACTAATATTAATATGTTTACAAAAAAAAAACAATTTGTTTATGAAAAGCTTTACAATATCATATGTTATAAAAATAAAAAATAAAAATTCTTTATGCAGTATTGCCTCGGACAAAAAATCTTATGTTTTCAATCACTTTTGGATAGTCGAAAATTGGGTATTTTCCCAGAGTCAAAACTTTGGGTAGCAGTGGGCATTCATTTTGGCAAAATGTGTGATATCTCTACCAAAATCTTGTGCAAAGCCTGAGGCCTTGACAGAAAAGGAGAATGATCAGAGCCTTTGAGCAGGAAAACTTGTTGAGGAGGATTTGAATGAATCATGGCCTCCTGGAGTGGGAGTGGGATGGCAAAATCTTCTTGTGTTTCGATATAAAACCTCGGGATTGAACCATAATTCATCGCAGAAAGAGAGAGTTTCTCTGTCAAGGGCGCGAAGGGGACCGCCCTCATTGATACTGATGCTAATTCCACATCCTGAGAAATCAAGAAAACCACAAAATTAAACCTTTTGAGTTTTGATTCTTAACTCTTTAGCAGTTTGTGCAAGTACTATAATGTATACCTTAGCAGGGGTTTGGTTAAAGAAGGTATCTTTCACTAATGATCTGTCGAAATTTATAGCAGTAGGAGGATGTTTCTTCCCATTCGAGTACATGAAAATCTGCGCACGCTGAAACAGATCATCCATCCCGGGCTGCAAACGACGAAGACAAGGATGATTATCAGACTTCAGAGTTGTCGTTGTTATGAATAAAATAATATAAAAGGAATCAAGTGGGAGACTTTTAAAAATAATTTATTCGTAACAGTCGTTTTTACCATGTTACATTAGTAAAAACCGATGCTCGGGTTAATAGACAGACCTTATGGGAGAACATGTCGAGTACACTCTGCTCGTTCTTCAGCATTGCTGCAGCTACAAAAATTGCTTTGGAGATTTTTGATTTATGCAACTCCATTGCATATGAAATACATGCTCCACCAATGTCATGCCCTACCAAGATAACCTAGGCCAAATAATCGAATCACAATAAATCAGTTTCGTTCTTCGTTTTTTTTATTAATCACGAGAATGGAGTTGCAGAAAGGAAGAAACGAAGGAGGAACAGACCTTTCTGTCGCTAGGGAGATTTTCGAGAAAATTCGTGAGGGGCTTTGCATATTGTGCTAGAGTTGTGATGGAGTCTGAATCTTGGGGATGAGCTCCAGAACCAGTTAAGTCTATGGCATCAACTTGATATCCAGCTTCTTTTAAAAATGTTGTGGTTTTGTACCAGCACCATGCTCCAAAGCCACCTCCATGAACCAGAACAAAATGTCCAGTTTCTGCATCTTCAGTTTTTGGGTCCTGAAAATTTTGAACCAAAAACAATTTGGAAAAGCAAAAACTATCAAAACCTTAAACTAATCCTTTCAGTATATGCATACCCACCACCTAGCTTTCTAGAAGGAAAATATATACAGTTTTCTTCAACTTTTGAGGTTTTCACTTTGACCATTATGTTACTTGGTTCATAGGTTGAATTATTGACTTATTGTCAGCAGCCACTATCATTCTTTTGGGCAGAGACCGGTAAAGGTCAAGTCTTAACACTCGGTGATTAAAAAGTTACTGGGCGGAGGCTGATAAAAGACTTAAAATGACAAGTCCAACACCCAAGGTCTCCAAAATATGTGACGGTACTACCAGCTAGGTCACGAGTTTAAATGCCAGCAATAATATTTAAGACTGGTTAGTGTTGGGATGAAAATGTGTAGCTAGGGGGTTGTAACTTGTAAGTCCTTAAAAGGATAAGTTCAGAATCCATCGTCTTGAAAATGTGCAGCATTCGAGACAAAAATTCATTCATGAGTGAAGTCGAAAAATAAAATTGTATCTTCACAAGTTCATTCAGGAATCAATCATGTGACCTTACAGTTGTATTAGCAACTTACTTACCAACTGTCGTAAACTGTTAGGTTATTACCCTCATACTCAACTAAATATATAGGTCATTGATTAGTACTTTCACACAAAAATGGAGCTTAGAATCGAAAGGAGGAAAGTATAATATAATACCTGTTGGAGAGGGTGCAGAGATTGAGGAAGAGAATCAAAGAGCGAGGTGGGGGGGCGAGAACTGGAGCTTCTGGGAATCTTTTTCTGCCTCCTTGAAGACGACGACGACAAAGGGTCTCTAAGAGAAACCGAGCGATCAAACTGCTGATGATGTTGTCGTAGGAGCAAGACAGCAGTCATAGCTTGTTGCTTAATATAAGCTTCGTCGAAGCTTTCTTTCATGGAAGACGATGGAACAACCTTCTGGGATGATGATTTCCGGCTACCGGAGTTTGACAGAGATGGAGGAAGAGGAACCGCCGGCGGCCGTCTTTTCGCCGCCGATTTTTGTTGATTCTGAGAGAAACATGCAAATGAGTTGCCCATCTTCAATTCTTTTGGTTCTGAGTGAAATAACAGTTGCCAGAAATGTATATATACATTTGAGAGAGAAGAGAGAAAGAAGATAGTCAAAAGTCAAAATATGGCAAAATGCAATAGTAGAAACGTGGCTCCTTCCTGGAGGGCTGGAGCTGTACAACATTGACCATTTGCTATAAAAATGTTTGCTTAAAACTACACGACACAAACATGGCCTTCTAGAATTGACTTCTTGTTAAATAACAATAAAAATAATCATCCTAAGTAATATAATATTACCTAAGCACTCGTGTATTTTTATTTTATTTTTTATTTTTTAAAAATTTATTTAAATTTTTAAATTTTTTTAAGACTTGATAATTATAAATTATTTAATATTTTAATAGTTAATACTTAAATATTAAATATTAACTTTAAAAACATGAGTTTGAACAATTTAAGATTATTTCGCTTAAAACGATATTGTTTTGAGTGAATAATACAATTAAAAAAAAAAAAAAAAAAAAGAATGAAACAATAGCTAATCAACCGACTAAGCGACATAGTCGGTGCTTGGTAGGGATATCTAGTCGGCGCTTAGGATGCCTAGTCGGCTGCCTAGCATATACCGATTATGGTGATACGCTAGGCGCAACGCAAAATGCTTAAGCGAGAATTTTGCAACACTGAGATTAATGTGAGATTTTAAAAATATATACTCATAATTCTTTACAAATTAGTATCTATTTAAACCTATGACCATTCATTTGGAATGGTAAACGAGATTTCATCACACTACATACAATAGTTATGCTGTGGAAACGTGTTCATCATGCCCATGGTGAACACATGGGTAGATCCATAATTTTTTTTTAGAACGTAGATTCATAATTTTTTTTTTTGTTGTTGTTGTTAACGGGATAGATCCATAATTTTTAAGCTGTAGATTCATAATTTTTATACTCTAGATTCATAATTTTTATACTATAAATTCATAATTTCTGTACTGTAGATTCATAATATCTGTAACACCAAATGAAAAAAACAAAATTATGAATCCACGTTTTCAAAAGAAAAAAAAAATATGAATTTACAATATAAAAATTATGGATCTACCCATGTGTTCACCATGTGCATGGTGAACACATTTCCACAGGATAATTTGCGACACTACACAATAGTTGGCTTATAAGTGTGCATATAATTATACATTTATTAATAAATGAATGTATATCAATACTTAAATATTAATAAATAAATAAATATATGAAAATACACACATGTATATTTGATTATATAAGTATATATACTTTATACTCCCTTCGTCCCGAATTGATTGTCTCATTTGCTTTTTGCACGTTTTTTAAGAAATTAAAGTAAATGCTATGTATTTTCCAATTATGCCTTTCACTTTTTCACTTTTAGAAATAAAAGCAAAAGTCATAAGGGTAATTTGGGAAAAAGTAGAATGATGGTGATGTTCAATTTTGGAAAGAGGACAACATTTTGGTACAAACTAAAAAGGAAAGTAAGACATGCAAAATGGGACGGGGGTATATGTTATTGTTATTATTATTATTATTATTATTATTATTAATTTATTATTATTAGAGGTACCTCATTTGTGATGGTTTTTTGGAATTTTTTGTAGGCCAAGAGTGAGGAGAGAGAAAAATGGGAGAAAAAGAAAAAAGAAAAAAAGATGGCCCAACATACACATGCCAGCTGAGTGCAGCTGCGTGAGACACCTGTATTTAGCATTTTAAGCACAATAATTGAGCCCACAAAAAACTACACCTACACGGGAGAAAATCATGTACAAATTACAACTCCCATTTGTTGAAAAACTACATGCATGGTTTCCGGTCAGAAAAAACTATAGAAAAAACCACAAATGTGATTGCTATTATTTTTATTATATATATGAATTAGTTAAGGGCAAAGTTGAAATATTTCAAGGTAATCTTAAATTACCTAAAAACAAATAAAAGTAATCACATTACTTTAAAACATTACGACCACATCAACTTTGAAATAATATAACATTACTATATAGTCTTACAATCAACTTTGAGATAATATAACATTACCATATAGTCTTATAACTTAAACCAAACAAGATAATATAACATTACCTAAGTAATCTAAGATTACCTGAACCAAACGCCTCCTAAAAGTACTATATCAACCCCATAGAGAGAAGGCAAGTGAATGTAATAGGAGCCCCTCCTGAGTGGGCCAGACCAACCCTCCAGAGTAAGACTCAATTGAATTAGTCTTATCTTGTGTAGATATTAGTGCAGTCGGCAAAAAAAAAAAAAAAAAAAAAAAAAAACACATGTTTTTCATGTGTTATAGCATTGAGCTATGAACAAGAGTTGCCAGACTAAGTACTTCTCAGTTCTCTAGACAAAATCTCTGCAGGGATGAACAGATATTTCATGGCAGCAAACAAAGCTAAGCTAACAATACCAATTGTGACAGGACTTGTCAACAAATGCAGATTCTTGGCCCCTTTACTGCTCTGGTTGGAGCAAGATTCAAGTGAACCAGAAGATCTCAGAGATGGGTTCTTCATGAAGGAGGAATATGATTCAATTTCTTCCCGGGTGAGCGCCGGATTTAACGACTGGCGGACAGTTTGGAAGTGTCGATCACACACAACCGTGGCTGATATATCTTCTCTTAAAGCAACGATTCCCGCTTCTCTGCACAGGCCCTCCAACTCGGCCCCGGTGAAGAGCTCGGTGCTTTCAGCTAGTTGTCTAAGATCCACATCGGCATCTAATTTCATGTTGCGCGTATGTACACGAAGAATCTCATATCGAGCTTCTAAATCTGGTGGTGGCACATAGAGAACCTACAATGATACAAAATGCATGTTGAAAGCAGACAAGCTGTGGATAAAAACGGGTATGAAATCTATATACTAGAGTGGAAGTAAAGCAGAAAACGTGAATATACTTATACCAGATCAAATCGTCCAGGTCGCATAAGAGCAGCATCGATTGCCTGAGGACGATTCGTAGCAGCCAAAACAAGAATTCCCTGACGAAATGAAAGGAAGATATATAACATTGTCTAGTTTGCATATTTTAATAATTATGGAACAATAAAGGGATTTTTTTTATTTTCTCACTTTAACTTGCTCTAGGCCATCCATTTCGGTCAGAAGAGTAGAAAGAAGTCTCTCCCCAACTGTACTACTTCCACTTGAACTTCCTCCACTGCCATTCATTGAAAACTAATGTAAAGCGAGAGCTATTGCTTAAATTAACACAGAAAGGGTTTTTAAAAAATTCATATTTACGAAATTTGTGAAAAATTCAACATTTTCATGTGTAAACTCTCTATGATGAACTTACCGTTTGGCAGCAACAACATCAGCTTCATCAAAGAAAATTATGCTCGGTGACGCAAGTCGAGCTCTTCGAAATGTATTGCGCAACAACGCTTCACCTTCACCAACGTACATCGAGTACAACTCTGCGCCACTGGTGCATTATCATGAAATTCATTTGAAAGAAGTTGCAATTATAAAGGTTAAAGAGCATAAAAGGGTTAGATTCTTCTCGGACCTCAAGGAGAAAAACGAAGCCTGGGCAGCATGAGCAGCAGCTTTCGCAAGGGTTGTTTTAGAGCACCCTGGAGGTCCATGAAGAAGGATTCCACGAAGAGGTGATACACCTAACCGTGCAAATGCTTCGGAATGTCTCAATGGCCACTCAACAGCTTGCTGCAGCTTTTTCTGTTTCATGTATCAAATAAACCGGTTATATGAAGAGATGTAACCCAACCATACTTAGTAGGATAAAAAGTTCAGACCTTTATGCCTTTCAGTCCTCCAATATCCTCCCAAGAAACCTTTGGCACTTCGACAACTACACCTCTTGTTATACTAGGCCCAACGACAGACCTGGCATGCTTCCAGTCATCCATCGTTACGTTCCAAGAGCCATCTTCTTGATTTGATGTTGAGGATCTTCTAGCTGCAGACATAGTAGCTTCACGGCATAAAGCTTCTAAATCTGCCCCAACATAACCATTGCAAGAGGCAGCAATGGCCCGCAGGTCAACATTCGGATCCAAAGGAAGCTTCTTCGTATAAAGCTGCAACATGTTATGTTAACACAAAGATCACTTACAAAGCTTTTAAAGAAAGGAGGGTATTAGAGCTTCAATGGAACTTTAAAGAGCAAGTGGCCATAACACACCAAATATATACATACATATATATATATATAGATGCCTGAGATACAATAAATACTATGCACCTTACCTTGAGGATATGGAAACGATCATCTTCATTAGGGGTTGTTACCTCAATCTCAGCATCAAAACGCCCAGATCTTCTTAGAGCAGGATCAATCATATCCACTCTGAACATAAATACAGGAAACTAGCATTAATCTTTAACTACTGCATTCATCAAATCCATAAGATGGAAAGAATAAAATATAAGAAACCACATAATATACAAATGATGACAAGTGGATCCACTCCTTGAAGATTATACTATGGTTATAAGAATCCGCAACACTTTGTTTGATACTTTGATTCAAAGTGGGATTACTTATCTGTATCAGTGAACATCAATATTACTCTATTAATGTGAGATAAATAATCCCAACCCCCTCACATTCAAGTGACATTTAATTATTTATATAGGAAAATGAAAAGAGATTAATTTAAATAAAACTAGTGTGTGCTTCATTGAAAATAATACCAGCAAACTTGTTTATTAACAAGAAAAACATATTCAAATTCATCAAGAACATAAATAGAAAACCCAAAAGTCACTCCCTTGGAACATCAGTTGTACCTACCTATTCGTAGATGCTACTACAACGACATGTAATCCAGATGTTGAAAGTGATTTATTGGAGTCCATCAACATAAAAAGTTGAGAAGCTATACGAATATCTTGCTCCCTTCTGCAATTGAGGATTCAACAAGAGTATTAAGTATTAACAAATACAATTGTAATGTACTTGACCATGAGTGTTGTACAAAAACACAGACAGCACTCAGTAAGAAAATTTCAAATAAAATAAAAAGCCAAGTAGGAACAAACAAAGTAGTGATTGCAACAACTACCTAGAATCCCGACGAGGACAGAGCGCATCAATTTCATCTATAAAGATAACTGATGGCTTCCCAAGTTTTGCATGAGATGATGCTTCAGTAAATGCTTCCCGCAAAATTCTCTCACTTTCACCAGCATGTGCTCTGTGAACACTATGAGGGCTGCAAGTGCACCAGAAAAGAATGGCATTAAGCGTACATATCAAAATCCTTCTCACATGGAAACAACAAAGACACAATGAGACAATCATACAGCCAATGGAATTTTCTTGATTTCTCATAAAGGAATTCATGGGTGTCAAGTTTCTAATATAAGCAATTCAACATCATAACACAAATAAACTCCACTTCAACTACATGATGAACTTATGCCATAGAAACATTTGAAAATTTGCAAAATGTTCCTTCAATTACTAGAAATCCTAACGCACTAGTCATAGCAATTAAACTCCACTGTCCAGTATGGAGTAAAGAATATTTAGTTTCTAATCTTCTTAACAATAGAAAATAAAGCATGTCCAATGATACTTAGCTTCAACAGTTATACTTCAAAGTAAAGAACTAAAACACGAAAAACCACTAGCCAAGAACATTAGAATTTCTAGTACCTAATAACAATCAAATGTGCTCCACATTCTTGAACAACTGCTCGAACCAAGCTTGTCTGAAATTCCAGAAACACAAAACTGAAAATTTATTATAATTATAAATAGTTAACACTAATTGAAGAAAAAAAAAAATAGGTTTTCTTTTTCTCACTTTCCAAAGGGTGATCAAGCTAAAACGTAGAAGCATACCTTTCCAGTACCCGGAGGACCATAAAGCAACAAGCCACGAGGCCACTATAAGAAGAAAGCAATGAGTTAATAAACCTATTAATTAATTTTGCTAATAGAAACTATACAGAATCTGTTCATAAGTGTTGCTATATTACTCTGAGGCCAAGCTTTTTTGACTCCTGAGAGTAGAGGAGAGGATACATGATGAGTTCTCGAAGAGCACAGAGGGCCTCTGCATTTCCAGCAATGGCTTCCTCCGCCGTCCACCCTGAGACGGCTGTTGTACTTCCATTGCTGCTGTCCATTACAAGATTTTCTTGAATTGTTATCAACAGTTCTTCCGATTAGATTTTAAAGGCGTCAACTTTTGTGATTCCAAGGGTTGGCAATTCAAAGGTTTTCAACTGAAAATTGAAATTTGGATTGGTGCAGAGATTGATGCACTTGCTGATTTCTGAAAGTCGAAGCTGCATAGTTTAGGTCAAAATTAAAGGCGGCGAATTGGTTGTGTTGATGAGCGGGTTAAAACAGTTGGATTTTTAGGAACAAAAAAAGTCACAATTTTTAACTGGCCCAAATTAATTGCAATTTAAATGTTGTACACTTCGTTTTTATTCTATATTTGACTTCTAGTTAGAGCAACTTATTAGCCTTCTTGATTTGAGCCCGTCACTTATGACTGATTTACCTCCTTATAGTCCTTTGCTAGCTAGTCACAATGCGGGGTTTACCTAGTGCACACCATTGAATAGGCATTTAAACGGGCCGGGCCAAGCTCAATAAAAATACTATAGCTCGAGCTCGGCTCACCAAATTTTAATATAGCTCAAGCTCGGCTCGATTGGCCGAGTGTTTGAGCTTGAGTTGGAGATCAACTCCATAGGCTCAAATTGAGCTCGAATTTTCGAGTTTTTGAGTCATATTGCTCGAACTTTCAACTCTTACAAGATGTTTGCCGTGAAGACTGAAGAATGTCAACACAGTAGCACTATCTCTACAAGAAGAAGAAAATTTCAATGCAAAACAAAATGAAATTCGGCATTAATACCAGTAGCACTAATACTATAGTTCACACTAGGAGATGTCATTTTGCTGCAAAAAGTTTAAATTTTAATTAAAAACATGATACTCACACACACCCTCACACCCAGACAGTATCACAGATTCATTGAATCATAGCAAGGCACTAAAGGCAGTGTAGGTAACAACAATAAGGGCATAAGGCCTATTCAGTATTCACAGAATCACAGTAACACTATTAAACAACAACCAAATCATATTCAGTTATTCACAACCAAATAATATTCATTAACAATAATCATAATCATAAATATTAAAGGAAATATAAATTACTAAAAAAAAAAATTATTAGGCGTAGCGTACTAGCGTAGAGGCGGTAGAGCAGTCAGAACTCAGCAGTGGTCCAGCCGTGCAGTGGAGCAGGCGAGCAGCAGTCAGCCGAGCTGCCGGCAGCCGGCAGCCGTGACGGAGCAGTGGTTCTCGCGGTCTCGCCTCTCGGTTCTCACGGAGCAGGGCTGCAGTGGAAACTGGAGCATTGGAGGCATGGAGCAGCCAGCCGCCGTCGCCCGTCGGTGAGACTCGCTGGTCGCAGCCGCAGGAGTGAAACGCGAGGCGGCGAATAGGCGGAGAATTAGGGATTTGACTAATTTGAGTCGTCGGTCTGTCGCACAGGTTGAAAATGTGAAATGTGAAATACAAAATATAAAAATAACTTGGAAAAATGGTCAAATATGCCATCGAACTTTAGCTTAAAAGTCAATTAGATCCCTAAACTTTTTAAAGTTACAATTACACTTATCAACAATTCATTTAAGTGCAATGAAGCCCAAAACAAATTAATGACCTGCTATCACAGGTCATTAGGGTTCAGGCCACCATCCAGCGAATTTTTCGACAAAAAAAAAAAGTGATCGGCGAAATTTTCAACAAAAGAAATGACCGGCAAAATTTTCAACAAATTGGGTCGGTTGCTGGTCACATTTTTTTTGTCAGAAAATTTGCCAGAAGGTGGTCTGAACCCTAATGACCTGTGATAGCAGGTCATTAACTTGTTTTTGAGCTTCATTGCACCTAAATAAATTGTTGATGGATGTAATTGCACCTTTAAAACGTTTAAGGACCTAATTGACTTTTAAACTAAAGTTCGGGAGCCTATTTGACTATTTCCCCAAATAACTTTAATATGTTTTTTTTAATATTTATACGGGCAGAGTAACTCGTGGGTTACCCAAATTCAGCCCGTTTACCTCATATCTAATATGGGCCATACAAGACGGGTCAAAATTTCTCCGATCCAACCCATCCAAAATACGAGTTAAAATGTTCAACCCGACAAGTTGAACTCACTTTCGCAGCTCTAGTCAATTCCACAATTTGTTGAATTGTATTTCAAAAATATAAAATTATTATTTTGCTTTTTTTTATTAATATATTATATAAAGGTATTTTAGTGTTTATTCGGTTATTCATTTTCAATTCTCATTCATTCTATTATTGTTGTCTATTAAACAATTTAATTTGATTTCTACTTTTTTCTTTTTCCACGGAATTATAATTCATTTCTCCTCCTAATTCCTTCATTCTAACCAAACCTCCCATTAGATGTTAGGAATTTAGATTTTAGGGTTGAGGTTTGAATTTTAATTTCTAATTGTTAAAGGGTTAGTTTTATAAATTACTATATATATATATATATATATATATATATATATATATATATATATATATACTAGTTTTTTACGCGCAATGCGCGATTGGGATAATGCCCAATGCTTTTTTGTTAAATACTATCCCAATGCTTTTTTGTTAAATAAGTACTTTAAAGTATATTAAGGCAGGATTATATTGAAATTGTTCATGCATAGATAATTGAATGTTGAATTTGCGTATTTAAATAGGTAATTCTTCTCCCAAAGGTTGAGTCCCCAACCCCAAGGGCCCCCCACACTCCGACCCGACAGAGCATTGTGGGAAGTTGTAAATCACGGTGACTCAATGGTTCAGCATCTGCCCACTTTGGACATAATTCCCGCACTGCCGCCGCCGAGGTTCAAACCTTGGTCTCTTCTCCCAAATACTATCAACTAAACCATTGAGCTAAGCCCGTGCGAGTTAAATAGGTAATTCTAAGTTTACAAATGCAAGATAATATAGTCAAGATTAATTATAATTGTCAAAAAAATAACTGTATAGGTATAGTTGAAACCAAATACGGGACATAAGGGAGAACAAATAAAAATTAGGGCATAAAATATTAAATATATACTAATATTGTTTGAGGAGATTCCGACATTAGGATTTGTGGTTAAGTTCTATTAAGACTTTAATATTAGAATTAGATTAATGGTGTAGTTATAATTCTATATTAGACTTTAATATTAGAATTAGACTAACGGTGAATTAACGAAAAAGTTAAATGGATAATCATATAATTAATGATAAATTAGAAAATCTTAAAAGAAAAAAATTAAAACCTGAACAATATGAACCATTCATTTGATTTAATAATTTGGCGGGTCATTTTTTCTACCCAATGTTAATAATTAAATAAATTCGCTGGTCAAATCCGCTAGTATAATCCGCTAACGCTAACCGCTAACTGCTGATTGTCAAACAAAGACATTGCGAGGTAGTTCTCACTTCAATTTGTTGTGTGATTTGAATACTCTCTTTGTCACAAAATCTCTCAAGTAGTTAATATGGTTGGCTTTATTAATTATATTTTTTTAATTTTTTCATGGTATTAATAAAATACTTGGTAAATAAATATATAACATTATTTTGTATTATAACCTTGATATTTAATTAGAAAAATAGTATACAAAAAAGATAATAGATAATGTAGTGAATATAATCAATTGATGAATTTGAATGTAAAAATTTTTACATTTGAGAAAAATAAAGACAATATGACTAATGAAAATATTTCTTTTAACTAATTTATTGATAATTAATAATTTTTTTTCACTGAATAAAGACATTGTAAGGACAATGTAGCGAATATAATCAATTAATAAATTTGAATATAAAGAATTTTTATATTGAAGAAAAATAAAGACAATATAACTAATAAAATTATTTCTCTTATTTAATTTATTGATAATGAATAATTTTTTTTTTTTTAATAAAGGCATTGTGGACACATAATTCTAAATTAAAGAAATGCATATATATTATTTTTTGTTGTAACTACTAAATTATTATTTATATAATTTAATAAGAGTAAAATAGAGTACTAATTATGACAACTTTGATTGGGATGAAGTTCGAACCTAAGACTTTTTTTTATTGAAATCAATGAGTAAGTTAACGGTGAACTAACGGCAATTCTTAAAATTTTAACGGAATTAGTAACGGTGTGTGGGTATTTTAGGAAATTTTAGTGTAAAATTTAAATCTGATCAATCTTTTAATCAATCTGAGCCATTCATTTGATTAAAATCTGTGACCGCCATTTTTTCTACCCATTATAGGCCTAACTCTCTTGGGCTCTTATTAGTATATATATATATATATATATATATATATATATATATATATATATACACACATATATATACATAGAGAGAGAGAGGCTTATGATCCCATGAGAACACACCTCCGGAGAAAATTATGAATTAATATCAACCTTACATTTAAAAAAAAAAATCGAACGAATCATATCAAATTTAAAAAAAATACAATGACATTTTTGTAATTATCGTCAACTTCACTTTTCAAACTTGAACACTTAAATATTCATTCTGTAATAAATAAACATGCATTATTGGATAAATTTTAAAAATCAATGAAACGGCTAAACTTTAAATCTAAATCGTAAATACTAATAAACTCAAAACCCAGTAAAATGTAAACCCATAAACTAAATAAATAACTCAATCATAAACTCTAAAATTCAAACCCTAAGTGCACTTACAAAAAAAAAAAAAAAAAAAAAAAAAAAATCCATAACAACTAAATGTGCATTCTTGAAAAATTATGAGAAGTACAAATTTTAGTGTTTAATTTTGCATAGTATATATTTTTTAAAAAAGTTGCATAGTAAAATTGATGATAATTACGAAATAAATCATCGTATTTTTTAAAATCTGATATGATCCATTTTATTTTTACAAATTTAAGGATGAGATTGGTTATTAGTTTTCTCAAAGACTTGTTATATATATATATATATATATATATATATATATATATATATATATACACACACACACACACACACACACATATTATGGCTCACAAAGACACAAACAACTCAACAAGTCACGAGCATAAAATATTTGAGCTTGAGTTCGGCTTGGTTACAAAACGGACCTGCTCGAGCTCGAACTAAACCAAGCTCAAGTTTACCTTTGGCTGAGCGGCTCACGAGCGGTTCGTAGCGCATTTACACCGTTACCATTGAGTAGTTGTTTTAGATTTCTCTCGTCACCCAACCAAAAAACAATCATTATTGTATTTTTTTTTTAAAGCCTAACACCAAAACAAACTTTATTCATAAAAATATGAAGTCAAAACATGATGCAAATTTTTGCTAACTATAAGTACCCTTACACCGTTACTATTTAATAGTCCCTAAATTCCAACATTAATGACTACATCATTGGCCATAACATACATCTAGCATATCTTTTTTCATATTCTTTAATTATTATTATTTTATTAAAATAATTATATAATAATTAATTTAATTGTATATTATATTTTAATTTTATATATATATATATATATATATATATATATATATATATATATATATATATATATATATATTGAATGTTAAATTATGTGTAGAGTCAATAGTACTTAAGAAAAATGTATGTGTACAATGCATATATTATTTGTGTATGTATACCAATATATGTGAATATTACTTTAGTATTATATATATTCTTTATTTTGTAGTTTTTTTTTTTTTTTTTTTTTGTAAATAAACATTTCATGAAAATTATTTACATTATTTCAAACAAAAATACTCCATATATATAAGTTATTTCTCGTGTGTGTGTGTTTGTGTGTGTGTCAAATATGATAATTAAGAATTTTTAAGTTAAGGAATTGTGAAATATAGTTTGAACTATTTTTTTTTTTTTAAAGAAAAATCGAAATAGCTATATTAATTCAAGAAAGTATGAAGGAAAGCTGAATTGCTGGAGGTTCACCTTTTCATGAACAAGAACGACGAACGACTGAATTGAGCGAACACTAAAATCAACTATTTTAACAAGATCATGATTAAACTGGTTCGATGATCAACTAATGTGAACACAGCTCAATACAAATCTAAAGAGTTCAAAATAACATGACAATAGCTTATAATAGAGCCAACATAAGAAATATACAAGATCATACATCATGTGTACGTGCAATTCCTCTCACTTTGTTTTCCATCCATTATGCCTCTCATACCCAATCATTACGTCCTTTCCTAGTCCACTATGAATATTTCTAGAACATAAAAATAATAATTATTAAAAATATTTACTTTATTCCGTTAAATTAAAGGAATATTTATTATATAGACTTATTCTGTCTATGAATAAACCAGGATTCCAGGAACAAATTTGATCCAACGGCCAATAACACCCAATGTCATCAACCCATGAAATCAATCGATCGAGCAGCTCAGGAAAACGCAAGATCATATCCAAAGTCATGCAGTGCATGATGATGATTATGAGTATTGTTAGCCATAATTCTCTGCGGCGGTTTTGTCTCCGGCGGATCGAATATTCCGGCGGCCGCCGCCGTCCCGTTCATAGCAAGAAACGTAGAAGTATTGACAGCCTCCGCCATGATACTCTCCGCCTGGGCGGCAACGTTTTTCTTGAGCTCATCCATGGCGTCTCTGAGCTGCTCGAGCTCCGGCAACCGGAGCTCGCTGACCGGAGCTTCCCACCAGCACCGGCTCCGGCTCTCCTTCCGCATCAGATCCAGCGCCTCTCCTCGCTTCCTCTCGATCTCCGACTCCGCCGTCATCTGGGTCAGCTGGAGGTTCATCTCGCGCACGGCGGCGCTCCGGTGCGCCTCCACCAGGTGGAGGGTGGCGTTGGCGTTGGCGTTGCTGGTGGCGGCGGCAGGGTGGTGGTGGTTCCGGGATAGGAACCGGTCGATGATGGGGTCCACGTTTGGGTGGCCGAAGGAGAACACTTTTCCGGCCGGCGAAAAGACGATGATCGCCACCTCCACGCCGCACAGAATGCAGAGCTCGCTGGCTTTCTTGAACAGCCCAGAACGGCGTTTGGAGAAGGTGACTTGAAGGTGGTTCTTGATCTCTATTTTCTCAATCTTGATCTTTTGTCTCCCCATGCTTGGCCTCTTCGCCATGTCCAAAAACCTTCAACTTCTTCTTTGAGACTAAAAATGAAAGTAAAAGACTATAGGGGAGGATAGATAATGGAACCAAGTCATACAATTGAGTTGTGTGGGGAGAGGAGAAGAAGTGAAGTATTTATAGGGGCTGAGACAACACTTGCAATAACAGTTAAAAGATTTAATTTTCCTATTGAATTTATAGTTTGTATAACTTTTGGTTATTTTTTATTCCCTAATAATTCTTGAATCTCCATTTACCAACCATGGAAAATATGTTATCTTAGTACTATCAACACACTTTGTTAAAGAATAACGTATGTGTGCTGTGTGCAGTGTGTGTCTATATATATATATATATATATATATATATATATATATATATATATATATATATATATATATATATATATATATATATATAGAGGAAGGTTCAAGTGTGGCGGTGTTTTACGGTGCAACGTCATCAATAGTTCAACAAATATACACCATCAACGTTAGGAAAAATACATCACAAAAAACTCACCATTAGGTGTGATTAAAAACACTATACAGTGTTCGGAAATACACCATTGAGGGTGGTGAGTTATAAGGTGTATTTTTTTTTTTTGATATGTTGTGTATTTTTTGATGTTTTTTTTTTTTCATTGTGGTGTGTTTCTCTTACATTGTTGGTGCATGTTGTTAACACTCTTGGTGACTTGGTGTATTCTAAAATTCTACCGCACCGCCGCACGGGAAGTGTCCGCCGCATTTGAACTTTTTCCTACATATATATATATATATATATATATATATATATATATATATATATATATATATATATATATATATATATATATATATATATATATATATATATATATATATAACAAATATGTCGGTGCACAAGGATCCAAGTTCGACTCCCAATGGGAAGGCCTATTGATCTTCTTGGTTTGATCAGCTGGTCAACTATGGGTAGTATAGACTGGTGTAGTTTACCTAGTGCACACCCTCAAACAGTAATTGTGAGTTTCTCTCGTCATTAACAAAATTTAAAAACATCAGGGCACTTGTTTTTCGCTCATTATAGAAAAAAAAAAAAAAAAAAAAAAAGAAGAAGAAGACAGAAAACTACACTTTGTCCTTGATTTTGCTCATTACAGTAACTCAGTGAATCAACAATATCAAATGCATATGCGTATAAGGGATCTGTTCACTTTAAACATAATCTCCATACTGCCACTGTCGAGTTTCAAACATTAATCTTTTCTCCCAACTACTACCTATTGAACCAATAAGGGAGACATGTATTCATTTTTGGTTTGTGGTTTAATTTGGAGGTTAATGCTTCCTTCTTGTAACAGTAACATACATCATCACATCTAATTATTACTTGCTTGGTATTAATAGTAAAACATTATCATTTCATGTAACATGTTCATGAAAATTAAGGTTAAGATTTGTAATAAATAATATAAAGGTATCCTAGTTTTGCATTGATTTTGTAGGTTACAAACTTACAAGAGCCATGTTTATTACTCATTAAACCATCATCTATGATTTAGTATTAGTGACTAATAATGACTAGTAATATATATAATATACCCATCATCATATATAACTTATAATAATAATAATAATAATAATAATAATAATAATAATAATAATAATAATAATAATAATAATAATAATAATAATAATAATAATAATAATAATAATAATAAATCCACGCGTGCAAATAGTTGTAGAAACGGTGCATTTACACAAATGTTTCCCATTATATTCCTACAATTACCACTTCGTACTAATTACTCCCGGATAAAAAAATTATTTTCATGGATTGTTGGTGAGTTGGCGGACTCCACACTAAGTTAATAAAAAATTTATTTATATAATAAAAAGATGACACGTCAAGAAGTGATTAATACGAAATGCTATAACGGGGCGTTTGGTTGCAAGGAATTACCAATTTCATTCCACTTAATTTCGCATAATTCCGAAGGCAAGCAAATTCCTTCATTTGGCTAGAGGGAATTGCAATTCCCTCATTTTCATTAAATTAGAATCTCATGTCCCCTCTTGAATTTTCAATTCCATGAATTTTAAGAATAAAAAAAATAATTTTGAGACAAAATTTTCACCATCTTTTTTTTTTTTTTTTTTTTAACCTAAAATTGATGTTTGACATCTCTCTTTGGATTATAGTGTGCCTTATTCTCCTTCTCTCAACACAGAACGTCAATCAGTAGGTCAACCTCAATCAAATCTGTTTTTTCAAAACACCCTTATCTATTTTATTGCTTTCTTTATGCAATTCTCTGGTTTATTTACAACGTGTTACATAAATTTTTAAAAGCAAAATTTGAATTTGGTAATTTAAGATTTATAGTAGTAGTAGTAATAATAATAATAATAATAATAATAATAATAATAATAATAATAATAATAATAATAATAATAATAATAATAATAATAATAAGCATGGACATTTTGGACTTTATACTACTTATTTCCTTTCAATTTTCATGTATACCAAACATTGAAATTGAAATTCTCAGTCATTCTATTTCTACAAACTAAACACTGAAATTTAAATTACTACTTAAACACTGAAATTTAAATTACTTTATTTTAAATTTATTCTTTTCCTATGATATTACAATTTCTCTCATACCTAATTCACCCCCTCCAACCAAACGCTTCGTAAAAGTCTCTAGCATGATCATTGCATATAACATTTAATAATTAATACTAGTAATTACTAAGGTCAACTCAGTTAAGAATAATGTTCTTATCTTCCAAGCATTAAAAATGAGATTTTGTAACTCCCCATATTATTGAATATTGAATAATTTATGAAATAGAAATGCTACTAAAATAAGTCAAAAACAAATACCATGAGAGCAGTTATTAGACAATTGTTCCTTTCTAATACGTTTGATCAGCGGAACGAATAAAGAATTAAATATTATCCTTAAAAATAATTATTGTCAAATTAGTATCCTTTAAAATAAATTTATCATCTATGTATATGCATTATGCAGTAACCACTTAGAAAAATTATCTCATCCATATGTATACAACAACACCATTTAGAGAGTTGTCTTTGAATAAGGTCAATTGAAGCTTAGCTAATGCACCCACTTTGACCAATGCTTACACCGTGGACTAGAGTTTATATAATAAGATGGACCCCTAATACAAGTGCAATTTTAATATACCGTGAGTCCATTTTTAATGTATTTAAGAGTGTAAATGAGCCTAGCAGTTCGCGAGCCGCTCGGTCAACTTTGAGCTCAAGTCGGCTCGTTTCGTAATCGAGCTCGAGATCGAGCTCAAATGTTTTAAGCCCGTGGCTCGTTAAGCTGCTCAACTCAAGCTCGGTCAACTTCGAGCTCAAGCCGAACTCGAGTGTGCTCGTTTCTTAACCTAGCCGAGCTCGAGCTCGAGCCTACCTATTGTTTATCGAGCTCGAGCTCGACTCAGCTCATTTACACCCCTATTATTATATTATAGGTTCACTTGATTCACAATACATTAAAACTGAACCTACAGTACACTAAAAATGAACGTGTCAAAAATTAACATGCAATATATTAAAATTAGGACAGTATAAAAGTCCATCTTGCAAGATGGACTCCAAAGTGCATGATATAATTTGCCCACTATGCCCTTGAAGAAACTACCTCAAATGAGACACAACTGAAACTTGATTGAATTAGTGATATAGATAATAATGCACTAAGAAGGAAAAAAAAAAAAATTCCTATTCTATCAAATATCATTTGGTCAAAAGGCACCAAATGAGGATCAAGTCATGTTACACATTGTTGAAACTTGAAAGTAGATCAAAACACAAAAGAATATACTTCTTTTTATTAATGTGAGGTCCAAGGTAATAAAGGAAAATAATATATGAACTTCAAGGGAGTAAAACTCCGGCTATTATATGGATTGTATTGATATAAGAGAAATATAAGAGAGAGAGTAATAAAAATTGTGGCCCACTCTTTTTTCTGAATGAATCAAAATATGCCACGTAAGCCGAAGAAAAAAATGGAGTAAAAAATTTAGAGTACGTGCAGTATTACTCCAACTCCTAATTCAAGGATTAGTTGATGGAAGCAAAAAGCAAAGTTGAATTTGTTCCCCCAAAGCCAAAAGAGTTGGACAAAGCAGCCTTAACATTCATATCCTTTGATGTTGTCAATGGCATGAACTCACCAGCAAATACGGGATCAGGTTTTTTAAGGTTAAGCGTCAAAGGCGCGATTCCCTGCAATAAAAACATCGCAGCAGTCAATTTAGAACAGAAGGATACCTCTCATACCGATAGTTGTAACTGCAGAAAAATCGACAGTTTTAGAATCCGGCTTTGAAGGCGTCCAATTTAGTTCAAACGCAACAAAAAGTGTCGTACATGGTGTATCGTCAACACAGCAAAAATAGCTTCTACGGCTCCGGCTGCTCCAAGGAGATGGCCAGTTGCGCCCTGATGTTTTGGCACAAAATAAGAAACAACCGAAATGATGAAATATGGCCAGTATCTGTTCATAACTACTTTCTCAACCTACTGAAGCACAAAGAGTCAATATTGCCTCCACTAAGGTTTGAACCCACAACCTCCCATATGGTAGAGCAACTTGGTGCCACTAGACCACAAAGATCCTTGGCACTTCTATGGAATTAGATAAATGTTGAGGAAAATATAAAAATTCTTTTAGTAACGCAATGAATATTTGGAGATTAGATCACGATCTAGGTTTCTACAGCTATAGCCTATAGTCATAACCATTTGTGGTCGTTTGACATGCAATAAAAGGCACCTTTAGTTGCAGGACTTCGTTGATTGCAAAAACCCAACTCTAAGCTTACCTTCGTCGAGGAAAAGGCCAGAGCACCTGAAGCTGCATGATCTGAAAATACATGTTGAATCGCATTAGCTTCCACAACATCACCTGAGAAAGAGCGAAATTCGACTTAGTAAAGAAGACAAAATTTCACTAGTAAAATTGTTCCGCCTCCAAACTTTCATTTATGAATAGTTTGTGATATCTAATAATTTTACCCAAAAGTGTGGATGTTGCATGTGCATTTATGTAATCCACTTGGCTAGGATGAAGACCAGACTGCAAAACGTAGTAACAAACTACAGAGAATTAGTCGAAGAATACAATAAAATCACCACAAAACCATCAGAAATGAAAGGTAGAGTATAGATACAATATAGCCACCAATTACAATGCGGGGAGGTTATATTCTGTCTACCTTACTTTTCTCGTCGCTCATAGCCCGTCATAGGTGTAGGCAACATTGAATAATGACATGAAAACTCATAATTTTCTACATTATGTAAGAAGTAAATCTCAATGCCTCGCTAGCTCACCTGCTTTAGAGCACGTGTCATGGCCAAAATAGCACCTCTTCCACCAAAATGCGGCTGAGTGATGTGATATGCATCACCTGAAGAAGTGAGTTGGTCATGTCAAACGAAAACCCGAAAAAAAAAATTGGAAAAAGGCATAATAGGGTAATCGAGCATGCAAAAGTGTAAATCAAAAACATACCCGAGGATCCAAAACCACGAAGCTCAGCATATATCTTAGCACCTCGCTTTTTAGCGTGCTCTAATTCCTTTGGAAATGAAATCAAACATGTGAGATCAAAAAGGGCATATGGCTCTAACTTAAAACGATTAGAACTTTTCCTGTTATGTATGCAATACTACACTACTTCACTTGATTAATGCAGGAATTCAAAAACATTGCATTTGGTATATAAAGTAAGAACGTCATAACATACAGTGTATCTATTAAAATTAAAATTCAAGCCTATAACCTGGAAGGACAAAACAACGTCGATGTCTTTACAAAAAGAGGCAGGACTCCAAATGCTTATTACAAACTAAAACAGACTGTTTTAAAAAACTTCTGATCAAAATGCATGTGAGTAAAAACTAACCTCTAACACAAGAATACCACAACCCTCACCAATGCTGTAATTCGGTAAGGCAAAAGATTCATCAGAGAGAGATAATACAGAACTAAGGAAATATTTTTTTTTTAAAGGGCTGCCTTGATAAGTTGAAATACCACTTACACAAATCCATCACGGTCACAATCAAATGGCCTTGAAGCTTGCTGTGGTGCAGTATTATACTTGGTAGTCAATGCTCTTGACCTGCAATTAAAAGGACCGCTTTGTATGGTCAGGTTGTTGACTTGTAATCACAAGGTTACAAGTTCGACTCACAACGGGAGCGACCAATTGGTTTTCTTGGTTTGAGCCTATCAGCTATGGGCAACCTAGGCTAGCTGACCTCCTAGTGGTTCTTAGCCGGCTAGGGTCACAAGGCAGGGTTTACCCAGTGCACACTCTCGGGTAGTGACTACGGGTTTCCCTTGTCACCCAAATATATATATATATATATAAATAAAAGATATATAAGAGAATGTATATAAAAAAAATGAATACCAGAAACTAGTTATAAAACCATAGCATTACCTACAAAACCCTGCAATAGATAGAGCATCAATGCTGGCTTCGGTCCCCCCAGCAACCATGACATCTGCATCACCAAATTGGATCATCCTAGCAGCATCCCCAACTGAATGTGCCCCCGTGGCACAAGCTGTCACTGCAGCATGGTTTGGTCCCTAAATTCAAATAAGACTAGAATATACAACTATACAAGACTAGAATGTACTCCTCCTAACCAAAAATAATGTTACAGTGATATCACAGCGAAAATACATAACATGATGTCCTAGATAGTATGACAAGGAGAATGTGACTCGTATCTTCAAAAGCTTTTACTCAACCTTGATATAATATGCAACTGATGTGATTTGCATACCTGAAATCCGTACTTCATGCTCACATGACCTGAAGCCATGTTGATCAGTATCCGCGGGATGAAAAATGGACTAATCCGACGTAAATTCTGTAATCACAAAGCAATTTGTTATCTGTATAATACTGATTTTTTATTTTTTATTTTTGTATATTTACTGGTTATATTCAGTTTATGCGGTTATGCCCAAGGATATGCCCTCAACTAACCTTCTCGCAGATCATTTTGGATGCATCCATAACATCAACGATGCTTCCAATTCCAGCACCTATAGACACTCCCTGATGCAATTATGCTTAGGATCCGCATAAAGCAAGAGAAAATCACATTTTGACATCAAGGAATAGATAAATACATACTGTTCGTTCCTTCTCACCCAAGGTGGATGGTATCCAATTAGCATCATTGAGGGCTTCATTAGTAGCACATAGTGCATACCCTATAAACCTCGAAATTGATCTATGCTCCTGCAAAACTATACTATGAGCAGCACTGCCTTATAAATGTGACCAACTATTCCTCATTCAAAAGAATTAACTAGATCTTGACTACAAAACCCCTTCTTCAAAATAAGAGAAAACTACGGCTTAAGTCTTGGTCAAACTTATAAGTGTAGCACCTATCTAAATCAGATTTATGAGTTAAGACTTTAAGCAAAGGGAAGCATTGTGTTAACCATTGGGTAATTATAAAAGGAACAAGCATCAAAACACTTCTGCAGAGCAATACTTTGGAATTGAGCCACAACTCATCCTGGAATTCCCCCGGGTTAGTTCCGCAAGGCACTGTTGCAGCAACTTTTGATGTCAGTTGTTCAAATGCCCGCAACTGAACTTCTCTATCAAATCCATTCATCTTCAAATCATCAAGAGTTATTGCTCTTACACCACATTCTCCATGTATTAGTCGCTTCCATGAAGTTTTGACCCCACACCCAAGTGGAGTCACCATGCCAACACCTGCCAACAAAACCAATATATGAACAAAAATAAAAAATAAAAAATTCAATCCTTTATCACCATCCACCTGCTCTTTCCAGCTGAAGTAATTAAGAACAGTTGAAAACAACAATTTTGTGCAAAATTTGTTATCATTACTCAACCCTTGGTTCAACAATAACAAATATTACCAGCCAATTTTGGCTTATTTGACCACTATTAGCTGTTTGACTTGGTTAAAAAATCAATATAAGTGTTTGATTAATAACTTTTTGTAACTTCAAAATGCTAAAATTCAAAAAGCTGCTCAAAGCAACTTTTTCAATTAGCTTTTTGAGAAAAAAGAAATTATACCAAACAGCTATCAGCTAACAGCTAATTTACCAAACACCTTTCTACAATCAGTTAATGTTATCAACTAGTCATACATTCTATTCTAACCCAATCAGTTAACAGCTATCGGCTAACAACCATTTACCAAACGGACCATTGACCCAAGATTCCTTATTAGTATATGAAGGTCAATTTTTAGCATATTGAATATTCATTTTGTTGATAAGGTTTTCTTGTGTGTGTAAGGAAGGTTCATTTTCGATATACTATCAAAAAAAATAAGTGTTCTATACATTCAAAACGGACATTCAGTATAATAAAAATGTACATTTATATGATTCAATGGGGACCATGGTGATAGTATAATTTGCCTTGTTACAACTGTTAGAGCAGAATTCAGAATTGGGTCAATTTAGAAAACCCCTCCGCTCGGGCTTAAACACTTGGCAATTCGCACACATCAAAATCCGAACTAGGAGCACAACAAGGAAAGATAATAAATACCAGTGACAACAACTCTTCGGGAAGGTAAAAATGGCGGCGGGTCAAAAGCGTCCGAGGAGCAGGACCGGAGAAACTGCCGGCGGGAAAGGACGAATCTGAACCAGTTTCCCCTCGTCATTGCCGCAGAGCAGAGGGCGGCGAGGGACACCGCTACTGAAGCCGCAATTGACTCCGCCTACAATGAAGAATCGTGGATATCATAGACCTGAAGAGTATCAGTAATCAACGTAGGGGCTGACAGTGGTAGTGAAGGGCATCTGGATAGTGTTGCAGAGAGAAGAACTTGGAGTAATGTTCGTTATTTTGGCCGTGCCCAAAATGGAAATTACGGATATTTGTCATGTTTCATAGTTCCCTTTATTTTATTTTTTTTTGAAATACAAACAATTTCACTACTTATTCTTCTTCCAACCTGACTCGACAGAACATTTAGGATGATATAAGTCTCGATAACTCAATAACTCAGCAAACACAATCAAATGCACACAAGAGATCTACCCACTTTGTGCATAATCCCACGCTGCCGAATTCCACTATCATGTGAGAGTGATGGAATTTTACCCACAAAAGATAACTAGAGAAGTAAATCAACCAGTTTTCCATTAATATAAAAATCATTACACTGGAAACTACATGTTGGTAGTCCTTTTTTTTGTTTTTGTTTTTTTTTTTGTTTTTGGTTTTTGATACAGAAGAGATGAAAAAAGAAAGACTAAAAATTGGGCAACGTCACACACAATATCAGGAAAAAGAATTGGGCCCAACTGCCTAAGCCCTCCGGAGGACTCTCAAAAGCATTTGAACCATAATGAGAGTGTGATCATGTTGGTAGCTCTTTGATTCACTAACACTGCAAGTTACCAACTGAAACTAGGTGGTCTTAGATTTCTTCTTTTTAGGCTTTCCAGCAGATGCTGCAATGTATTCTTCTGCATCAATCTTCTCCTTAGATTTTTGCTGTCCAAATTCCTTTGCCTTTCTCTGCAAAAGAGCAAATATTGTGATGGTAGATCACAAAACAATACTTGCATACATGCACCAATTTTATTCCATCTACGATATAAGCGTTGTTATGAATGTATAGAACAAATTCTTAATTACCTTCAAAGACACAGTTATTGCCGCTACATCATTTTGGTCGTCGCCAGCTCCACCAGCATTCTGTCTTGCAGGTTCCTATAGAGAAGACGAGGAGAAAATATGCAGTGACTATAGTGTAAATATAGACAAGAAAAGTTGTTCCTGAACATGAGACAGCAAAGATCAAACCTCGGGTGGAATAAAAGCTGCTTCCCGTTTTCTCTTGCTTTCAGAAGTCTTCTCCGCCTGTTTCTCCTGCTTCTCTTGCCATTTCTTAGCCAATTTCTTACTGTCACTCAGGAAGTATTCACCGCTTTCAAGTTGTAAATCAACCTAAATCCATGCAGAAAATAAGTAAACAGAATGGCAAATTAAATGTGTTAATATTTTCCAAGAAAAAGAGACAAGACAAAGCTATGATAATGGAAGACGAACAATGGAACTGCAATCCCACATAGCCAACATCGGATTTACTATAATTACAGTTGAATCCACTGGCAATCAAAATAGATATACACTCACCTTACTAGGCGGTTGTGGTGGAGGGAATGGTGTATAAGGTTTCTTCTCTTTGCTTTTAGGTTTCTTTTGTTTAACATTCTTCCTGAAAATGACAGCAAAAAAGTAGGAAAGGAACACGTAAAAAGACAATTCATAAATATACACAAACTTTAAAGACCATAAAATTCCATACTTCTTAAACTGCGGGAGAAACCGATCCCAATTTTCATTCGCCAGTGATGGATCTTTTGCCAGTTCTCTCTTCATCATGAGGATCTACAATGGGGGGAAAAAAAGAAAAAGATAATCAGGTTTACCATTAATTACTTGTTTGGTCCAGCTGGAGTTTCTTGAAGAAAGGCATTTTTGACGAGTCTCAAACTGTTGAGCTTTTTGAAAAGAAGGCTTTTTGCCTCTTATTTACCATTATTACAGAACAGTCTCTCCTTTTTAGTTTTTGAAAGATATCTTTTTCTTTTTCTTTTTTTGAAGGCAAAAAACTGAACAGTCTTTTTTTAGTGTTCAGTGAAGGGGTGATTTTCGAAGTGAATGGTAAGGTACAATAAGTTGTGGGTCAATCAAGCACAACAACAATTCAGAAAAAAATGTACCGCACACCATCACATATATGCTAGTATATTCACCTTAATATGGTACAATGGATGCATTTTATTCAGTATGCAATCCTCTACGATTCTCCTCACTTGTTTTAGCCCTTTAAATGAACCCATTGCAGCAACTGTGTTTCCCTGCTCATTTTCCCAGCAAAGAGAATTTAGGTCAAGCCGTAATACTTTGAGAAAAGCAGATATATAAGTGAGCAATAAAAAGAAATGCAATTCCAAATTGCAAGCTAGGAAACAGAAGAAAGTGTGGGCAATACACATCAACCAAAATAGAATATGTATAACATAAGATAACCTGGACAAGAATATAACAGCCGGTGACAATTTCCAAGGCCTGCATCAAACAGAAACAGTTAATTCTCTATTAAAGTTAAAGCTTAAAATCATTACATAATGTGTATCATAACCAAAGTAAATGCAGAGTTCAATGTAATGAGACACACAGTATTACTAAAATAGACAACTTTATCCTAAAGTAATTCTCACCAAATAAATTACTCCGTATATTTTGATTTTTGGTGAGTTTTCAAGCAATGATGTTATTTGAAAATGCATTGTACTCATTTATTATCTTGACAACGGCCTTTTTATTGTCATTTGCATTTCACTCCCTTCTAAACTAAGCTATCAAATTCTCCAAACTTGAATTTGGGATAAAATGGAGTATACTGACTAGGAGTAAGAGGGTTTCATCTTCTCCACAAGTACTTTCCCATGTTCCACGTTAATTTTTATCATTGTTTCCATTCTCTTAAATTCCTATTCCTCATTAACAAGCCATGATAATAGGCATATTTCCCCAGAATAAGAAGTTACTTTATTCTATATTCCATAGGTGAAAGAACATAATTAACCGGTGACTCAACACATTGCCAAATTAAATTACTTACACTTCTATAAAAAGTTATTCCTAAATCACAAAATGTCCCAATTTAAGATCATATGACCGGAACGTGATATTTACTGGTGAAACTTTGGCTGGAAATTTCACCAGTAGTTGCAATATGCTAAATGCATCAAAATATATGTTGTTCCTAGGAAAAAAAAAATTGATTTGTTTTGTGAAAATTACTCTTCATTATCAGGATCACAAACCTTCAAAGTGGAAGAATTGGCACCCAAAAGAAGCTGCCTCCGTTTAACAAACCGCTCCTGCAAAAAGATTCAAGTTTAACAATGTTGGGATACTTTGTCACAAGTTATATCATATACATAAAAGTATCCCATGCGGCAACATTTTTTAGTGGATATTATTCACTCAAAATGGAAGTTGCCCAAAGACCAAAACTCCAGAAAAATGAGTATTTAATTTCAAGTCAATTTAGCAATATGTACCTTGCTGTGGATCAATTTACCAATCTGGATGATGTCACATTGCATCTCATCATTCAGAATTTTAATTGCCTAGAAAATAACAACACAACAGTTGTGGTTTAAACAAAAGTTGAAAGAAAATCTAAACAGAAAACCACATTGGAGCCATCAGAATACCATCCATATAATTCAATTAAGCGGCTCTGAGTAAGGTCATAAATGCTGAGAAACATCAACTTTAAAAAAAAAAAAAAAAAAAAAAAGGCAAACCTGGGGTGCAGGAACACTTCTTGACAGAAGTTTAATGAGATCTCTAGCTTTAACTATAATATAGGGATCCCTTGTTTTCCTAGTTGTCGAAACTGTCATGGATCCTCCAACCTGACCATGAAAAGCAAATGGCGGGTAACTACCACATAAACAGATTAACATGCTACTAAAGCTATGTAAAACATTATTTGTGCTAAAAAATAAATCATCAAGTGTATCAAAGTAACAAAATTTATATACTCATCCGGGTCACTTGGATTTCCCAGAAATGTAGCAGTACAAAATTAAACACACAATGTCATTGCCTAGTTAATGACATGAATGTTCCAGAGCTACCTAGTAAATATTTCTACATAACCATACAATTCCTATTACCACAGCTAGAACCTACTGGCATACAGTAAACTAACATAAATTCTAACTTCCAAAACACAATCCTAGAAGGAAATCTGTGTGTAAGTAACTCTAGGCATATTTGAATCCAATTGGATTTTGTTTACAATAGCAATGTTAGTTCTCTGAAGTTAAACATCACCCCAATAATAAAACTCACCAAATTCAGCTCGCATGCGATTCCATGCTCTTTGAGTGCACCTTTGACATTAGGCCAGCATTCTTGCAAGTACTTCCCTGCACATACCAACTCAAAATTCAACCCCACAGCGTTCAAAATACCAAATACGTACACACAAAACAAGGGGGCAGATTGTGGAACCACTCACCTCTGTAATTAGGGAAGAGAGTGGAGAAACAGCTTACTTCAAGCATGCCGCTTTCGTTCCAGGAAGGATCGAACTTCTCAATCTTCCAGTGGTCAATGCTCGGATCATCCCACGGCTTTGGTTTGTCGTGCTTCCCCTTGTGTTTCTGCTTTCGATTCTTCAACTCTTCCGCCTCCTCCTCCTCCTCCCCGCTATTGACGTTGTTCTCATTCTCCGACATCCTTACAGAGCTCCAGAAATTAGCTGTGATTTCCGAATTTTGGATTATACTTCACCGAGCGGAATTAGGGTCCGAGAGAGACTGAAATTCGGCTCCGACAGAGACTCTAATTAGGTTTAGCTGGGGTTCTGAAACAATGGCCGGCGGTAGCCGTAGCGATGATAGTACCTGAAATTTAAAAGCCCATCATTTATGGGCTGAACGTGAGATTTGGGCTGTCAATTCATGGGCTTTAAGAGATGAAGCATTGTTCATGATGGCAAATTATTGTGTGAACCACAATCCAAAACAACGTCGTTGAATATTATGAGTAAGAATAATATAATATATATAATGTGTTAGAATAATGTACATTATATGTTAGACTAATATAAATTATGTGTTATAATAATGTACATTATATGTTAGAATAATGTATTTTATGTGTTAAAATAATGAAATTTCTGAGGTAATATAATGTACATTATGTTTTAGAATAATGTACATTATGAGTTATAAAAATGTATTTACAGCATGTCACGTGAAAGAAAAAAAATTACGCAAAACGACGTCGTTATCCATATAATACCTTTTTTCTTCTCATC